AAATTGTTGCGCGAAGCAACTATTGCAGAGACGTCTAAAAAAAAGAAGCAAGTTTGTCTAATGAGAATTTCTCACACTAAATTATATAAAAAAAACGATTTAAAAACAATTTATTGAAAATTGTGGAATGATATGTGAAATAATATACTATGATTAAATCAAAATTTCTGTTGACTAGAAGGTAGAATCTTTCGCAATCTTATAGCTCCAGTTGTAATTTTCTGATCTGTACGGGGTTCTATAGTGAAGAAGTTACAAGTTACAAGAAGAATAAAAAATAGGCGTTTGATCGTAATTTTCATCAAAAAATTTTATATAAAGAAAAAAGTAAACCATAGGTTGCTTAAATTAAAATATGATTCCCGCATGTTTTTGATGATACAGTGAAGTTTAGACAGATACATGAAAAAACTCAAAAATTTTCATGAAAAGGATTCAAAATGTTTGTTCGATTGATGTTTACCTCATATTCTTTTTATTTTTGAAAATTTTTTTTACAAGTCCAATTCCGACAAGTCCAACAATAGAGAAAACAGAAAACAGGAACGAATTTAAAACATACACAATTTTTGAGAATATGTTGTAAAAGAGAGATTATAAACTGTTATAAAGAAGTTTTGGTGGAACTTCACTCAATATCTTAAACGTTTTTGATAAACGTTCCACCAATTTTCATGTGATAAAAGCACTAAAATGTCCTATGAATGATCTGAATATTGATATAATTGACTTAAAAGATAGCCCAGAAGTTGCAGCTGTTGTTTTAGAAAGATCCATTCAGAACTAGTATAGACAAGTAAAAACTTCAAAACTTCAGCAAAATGTCTGCTTCTACAAACTTCCTAATAATTGGATGCAATTTTTTTGAAAATTATCTTTTATTTCTTTCCAATTTTGTCTCAATTAAAAAACTAGGATGATAATCTAGGATAAAAAACATAGAAAGATGATCAACAAATATATCATTTTGCATAAAATTTAATTATTGCAGGGCCTTAATTCAAAATTTTTCGCATAATTCTATATTAATTTTTAACAAGAATACGAGGTAGAAACTATACAATCTCCCTTTATCAAGTTTCAACAAATTTTGCTTTAGTTGGTTATTTGAACTGATGCTGTTAACTGAGTTTAATTTCACTGGGATAGACAACCAGCTAGCTTTACATATACTGAGTGCATACTTGAAATATTTTCTTTTTTGGACAGATTCTGAGACAGATACAGAAATGTTTTACTTTAATTTTCTCAGAAAATGTTGAGGTTCTCACTGTTTTTCCCAAAATGGAAAACATTTATCTACGTTTATCTAGGGTTGAGCATTGTTTAAATATACTTGAGCAATGCTGCTGATAGTCAGAATACCAAATCAAAGTCAATTTAGCTCAAATTAATTCAAATCTTATCGTAATTTCAGTTTTCGAGAAAAAAGGCGGAAAAAAATTTCATTATCTTGCAAAAACCACTTAAAACCCCAATTTTTCAACAATACAATTACCATGATACGGAAATCTGATTCTCAACGGGGAGGGTTCTCATGCTTGAAGGAACGAATGCTTGAAAAATTTGAACCAATCAAAATCGCTAAGCGTTTCTATTGGCTAAATGCCTTAACAGAAAATGTATTAAATCAGTTGAAAATACTCAAATACATTACAAATTGCGAGTTATAACCGCAATACTATTCAGATAATCATCAAGATTAATGAGGTCAAAATTATAAGAATTTTTCAGTCTTGAAAACTCATCTGCTTATTATCTAATCAGTCAATATTAACACTAATGGCCTGGTTTATTTTTTTACTTTGAGATTTTCGCTATTTACTTTGAGATTTTGAATACTCAATTCTGATTGGCTGAAAGTAAGCTAAAATTAATTTCAAGCATTCGGTCCTTCAAGCATGAGGGACGTCACCATTCTCAACATTTTATTCTATTACAAGCTCTATACCCTATTGTTTACATATACGAATCAAATACCTGTTATAAGTTATCTGATTACTATCTCAATACTTGGGAAATTTGAGCGACGAGAAAATTTGAAACATCTTAGCTGAAACGATATATTTTTAAAAATGGCGAATCATATTTCCTGTCTTAGTACATAGAAAACCTATTGTAACCTAAGACATATGATCTTAAACATTACTGTATTAGCAAACTCCGGCGCCGTATTTGTGTTTCAAAAATTACCATCTCAAACCTTGTATCCTAATACATGGCCATTCCTATAACCTGTTTTAGTCCTGGAACTTTTATCTTTATACATAGCTTGGAGACCGGAATGCTCTAGCTTAACTTAATGCATGGCGAGTCTCCAAGCATCACTCCTCTTGATCAGCTCCGACATCTACAACTATTTTAAACAACCACGAGTCGTTTTTATATTTATTGCTGGAAAAAAAAGAATGACGAACCACAATGGCGTTACCAATTGAGCTTAAACAATCAGATAATGGTCTTTTATAATTCCCGCCTAAAATGTTATCAGCCTAAAATTCATAGTTTGTGAATATTTCAGTTGCCAAAAACTATTTTGGATCACTTAAACGAGAATGGAACACTAGGGATTTGCTCTGATACGAGCAGTCTCATTGTTTTGACTTTCGAAGGAATTGACGGAATAATTGTGCTCGGTTTGCTTTTTTTCTAGACAAACTTCGAACTTTTAACTAGTTTTTTTTCTGATAGCATTTGTATTACAGAACCGAAGTAAATTGTTGTCCTGAGCTCAAACTCAAAAAGTTACTTTACATGAGATCTTATTTCCTGGGGCTATGGGCGTTTAAAGAAGTTATGTTTACCTTTGTAAGCTTTTGGGGGTTTAAAGGAAGGCTTTGATTTCCGGAATGTTATTATCGCGTAAATGGATATTTAAGCCGTCGTAGAAGTCGTTCAAAATACAATTAAGGCATCTGATTTTGTTCATTAGTTTTTTTGATACAAGTGAAGTTTATCACTTTTTGCTTTAAGTTGTGTGTGGGGGATAGTTTTTATAAAATTTTGAAAAAAAATTGAAGTTTTTTTCTGTTTTATTTTTGAAAATTTGATGTGTCATTAACGCGAACACTACTCCATGGACCTTAAAAGGCAGCTGGAATATTTGGGGATTCGCACTGATATGAGCAGACCCACAATTGAGTTTGGCATGTCTCAGGTTCTCAAAATGTGATCACAACTCATAAAACGATCAGAAAAGAAACAAAAAATATTTCGAATCAAATTCTAAATCAAAAAAGTCCTTGAATATTTTGCAAGTATGTTAGCATCTCCTAAAAAGGTTTGACAATGCCATTTATTGATTTTCATCTAACACTCTTATTGAAAGTGGCTGAAAAAATGAAAGAAAAAATGGCAGCTTTTCTCACATGTTATAAATCTTCAAGAAAACATCATAAAAAACTATATCTCAAAATACAAATGGTTAACCACTTCAAAAATGCAGAATGAAGATTCAATTTTCTAGCATTAATTTACTGCAGGGTAGGATCTAGAATTTTCTCGAAGGAGGGGGCCGGATTTCAGATTTTCAAAAAAATTTCAAAGTTTTGTTGACCTTTTTTTATGGTCGACTAAATTAATTTTCCGAACGCTCCCCTCCCCGAACACTATAAAAACCATATTTGGACAAAACCGGGTAAGTGAAAAAACCGGAAAAAAATTGTTTTTAGGCACTTATCGGAATCTAGTAGACCAAAAAATTTTGTTTTCTTGGCGCGCTCCTCCTTTAAAACTGGGGATGTATATAATAGCGCCGATAACGAAACTAGTGCATTTAAAAGAAAACTTTTGATCACTTTTTCTTATTAAAAAGCTGATACTGGCGAAGCAACGGCTAGCCTGGTTCCAATCGGGTAATGTTCGAAAGCCCTGAGTGTTAGAAAATGGCTAAAGACATGGGCTGATTTAGGATTTTGATTAGCACTTTCAAAGCAAAAAAAGACCGTGTTTTGGCCACAACTTTTGCGCCACATGCGAATTTTGTCAAAAAAAAACAGGCCAAAAAGCGTCTTAAAATAGTTCCAAAGGAGGGAATCTTTGGGTAGCCAGGGGGTTGAATCGGTGAAGCGGGACCCGCATTTAAGAAAAGTGAAAACAAATCGATTTTAATGGATTTTCGTGGTCTATAATGTTGTAAATATAATCGATTCCCATGTTACATTCAGACAACAAAATTGGATTGAAAATGGATTTAAATCCATTTTTCTCGCCAAAACAAAAAGAAGAATTATAATTCATTTTGAGTCCTTTATAAAGGATTTTATAATAAGTAGGAAATCACATTAAAATGGATTTTGTTTCCACCTAATTTTCGTTTCGCGCGTCGTGCAAAATTTTGCAAGAATTTCAGCATTTATCAAGTGAGTGATGCGGAAACTTTGCAAAGCGAGTGTACTGCCTGGCCTAATCCGTTTCAAAACCTAAACTCAAATTGCAAAAAGATTCCGTTGAGCTCTTCCCCCCCCCCCCAACATTTGCCCCTTTGCCCCCTTCAACCCCCCTAACGTTTGCCCCTTTGCTCCCCTCCCCCGACTGAACCCCCCACCTGAACACCCCCCCCCCCCCCCCTCACCACCTGAACATCCCCCGCCTAAACAACCCCCCAACCTCACCTGAACCCACATAAGCCCCCCCCCTCACCTGAACTCACCCCCCACCTTAAGAGCAACTCCCACCTGAACAAAACCAACCTGAACCTATCCCCCACCTGAACACGTTATGTCAGTGTCCACAAAAGTGAAAATAAATCGATTATAATGGATGAAAAAAGGATTTTGTTGCCTCGAAAAACAGTAATATTATAATCCATTTTTGATTGATTATAATCGATTTGTTTTCACTTTTGTGAACACTGACAAGGAAACTCACTAATAATCGATTTTCATTCATGGAACTCCAATGCGGGGAAGAAGCATCAGCCCTCCCCCCCCCCCCCCCTCCCCCCCTAAATCCGCAACTGGCTGTTGAGAACTCTGACTTTATAACTGCTTGTGAGAATTCGCCGACTGACTCGGTAACTTTCTGGAAACACTTCAACAAGTTTTCAAAAATATCGTATCTAATATCCATTTTTTTACAGACTGAAGCTAGGTAGTTTTTTTACAAAATTATGAACAAACTAAATCTTTTCAAGTTTGTATTAATTACATGATTACATGATTTTTTTCATTGATAAGCTACAATACGATGCACTTATGCTTTTTCCCTTTCCGTACTTTATTCATTTGGGGAGAGAAGTGTGCGCGCGCTGCCTCATTAAAGACTTCGTTGACCCCCTCCCCTGTTTGTGAAGAGCTCTCCAGGTACTTGTAAGCCCCGATTCTCACACTCAACTCCTCCCCTTCCTTTTTTGAGATGGCGGGTTCCAACAACTCATGTCGCCGCAGATCTATCTTTGTCGCGACTAGGATCACTGGAACGTTGGGACAGTTGTGTCGTATTTCTCCGATCCACTTGGTATGCGCGTTGTCGAAAGATACGCGACTCCTAGCCGAGAAGCAAAGCACGAATGCCTCTGCGCCCTGGTAAAGCATTGGCCTCATTCGGTCATAATCGTCTTGACCCGGGGTGTCCCACAACTCTTAAATAATAGTGATGGAAATGTAGTGGGCAGCAAGACTCCTTTTAGCAACATAACTTGCAACATTTGGGTATTTTTTCTTAAACGGCCCAGTTTTCTTATTCTAGAAAAATGAAAACATATAAAAAATGCGCGCGCTTTTGATTGGTTGAAATCACAAAATTGTCAAAACGAACTGCGAATCTCGCGGGGTTAAATTATTCATGCGGTGCTGCTGACAAAACTGTGGGCCGTTTACGTGAAAAGACCCAAATATTAAATTGTAAAAATAGTAACATGCTTACTAAAAGCGCAAGACTAATTTTCTCCAAAATATGAAGAATGGTTGATGCCAGAAAACCCGAACGCCCAAAAATTATATTAACCGATTATAATTCAGTGATCAGAAGTTTGAAAAAATTAAGCTGAAAATCAGTCAGTTTTGGATAATTTAACTTACGTTGATTGGTTTAAAATTTGCGCGCATTGGTCCTTTTTTCAGGAGAATTGTCGACTTAAATACCGAATTTGCATAAACTTTCGACCAAACAACACGTAGGTTAAGTTATCCAAAACTGAATAAATTTCCGGGTTCCCACCATTTTAACCCCAAATAATTTCATAATTAACTACCATTACAACTTGAAAATCACGAAAATTTAACACCATGTCTATGTTACTTAACGCAATTTAATCCAAAAGAAACTTTATTCAAAAATTATGCTTGTGATTTCAAACCAATCAAATACCCGCAACTTTAATGCTCTTAAGTTTTGAACAGTAATAACCCTGTCAATATTCCCGATGGGTAAAAAGGCTCAAACCAAATATCAGTAAACTCAAACGGAACTACAAAGGCTGAAAAATGGGTAATTTCTTAAACATTTTGAGCCAGTATCAGAGATATCATGCTTAACATATCTGAAAGCTTTTATACAATAATGCTCTTGTATAAAGGGGCTTTATCATGCTCTTGTACAATATCTGAAAGCTTTTACTTCTTTAACGTTTGATTCAACCTCAACCCCAAAAGTAAAAAATGAAACTTCTTGACTCGAGGACTAAATTTGATGAAAGTCAGACAAAAAGGAATCCTATATTTTTCTGGAGTGAAATGGTTTAAGAGTTGAATGACATGGTTTTAAATGACGTGATATTAAAGTGTAAAGAGTTACCGAAGAAACACTAATTTTTCAGCTTTTTCCAGATTTTGGTTAAAAAAGTATAATGGTATTTGGTTCTTCCGACATCAACGATTCTCGTATTTGGCCCTGTAAGCCTATTGGCCTTAGGTCAGCATGTCGCCTTTTTCATTTTGTTCTGATTGGAACTTTTACTCAATGGGCGCACTATATTTAAGGCAACACCACAACAATTATTGGCAGGGAGGGTAAAATGGGCCGTAAAAAGTTCTTTTCATTATACGATTATTTCTTAGAACTTTTGATGTATCTTTGTGATACGTCTTCTGCCCCTTCGCATCATTAGTTAAAAAACTGTCAAAAAAGTGTTTTACGGGAACCCGAATCTAAAATAGATCACCATTTGAACCATTCACACTCGACTCAATTCTTCTGATGGCATTTTGAGTTTGAACAATGAATAACTTTAGTTTGAACAATGTTTGAACAATGAATAACTTACGCCACAAACGTGATAGTTACTTTGAAAAAAGAAACGTTTAAGAATTAGTCCAATTTATTCAATATATTTTAATGTAGAAAAAAAACACACTACTTATTGCCACGAAAAAATTGTAATAATGAATCCAAAATTCAATTTCCCATAACAATCAAAAACGAGTTGGAGCGAAAATTGGTCAAACTTTTGATGAAAGTGGATGAATAATTGTGGTTTGTTACCTTGATGCTAGTAATGCTTTTTGAGTGTTATTATATAATTTGACCAGGTTAACGACGAATGAGGATGAACCTTGCAGCCAATCGTGCTTGGCAGAGTTCTGTTATGCTAGAGCGTAACTCGCCAGCTAACTCTCTATGAAGAAAATACAGTTCTGTGAACTTTCTGAATTAAACATTTAGTAAACTTGTTAATCTACACAACTCAGAATTCTTTAGAGTATCAAATGGCGCATCCAGCAGGATTCCTTACCCAGGATAATCGAACACATTTGGGAATAGCAGTATTTTGGACGACTGCAATTCCAGACCCGCCCCGGCAAATCAAAATTTGGCTAGAACAATTTCTGATGGCTGTAACAGATAAAGAAAATGTTAACCTGGAATTGCTACTGGAAGATCGAAAAGACGCGGTGGAAGAGCCTGCAAAAAGACAAATCACCAAGAACCGGAGAGGATGCGACTGCAGCAGTAGCAGCAAGAGAGCATCGCAATTGATTAGTGTTAGAAAAAAGTGTTCAGGAAAATGAAGAAAAGCAAGCTGGATGCCGAAAGGTCGGCCACAACGTCTTTTACTTCGAGGTGCAAAAATGACTAGTTTCACGTCCATTCCTTGCGTTTAGAAGGAAGGAAATAAAAGATTCCTGCAGAAAAACCCGCATGTGGAAAAATCATTATGAACATTCGAAGACATCATTGAAATGGCATAACTTGCATTCCAATAAGTAAAGAGCTTAACTATTCAACAGAACTCAACAACAAGGAGAAACCTTTGAAGCGTTCCACGCAACATTAACTGCACAAGCAGCCAAGTCAGAATTAGGAACGTTTGAGTATGAATTGGTAAGAGATCTTGTTATCTCAAAAAAGAGATATGCAAGTTTACACGACACGCTGACGGTGGATATATTATCACCGGAAGAGGAACTCAAAAGTGTAATAATAATTAAGCACAGCAAACAGACGACCTCAGCTTTTCAAGAATCAATTCATTGATTGCAGGGGCAGTTTCATTGTCGTCGATGAACCCAACACTTAAGATAAAACAAAAACCAGTAATGACGGTCAAAAACACTAAGAACATTGGTTCAAAGAAAAAGTTCAAACAAAAAAAAATAACAACCGTAACGCGAGATACAACTGAGAACAGAATCCATCTAACAGGCGTGGAGGACCTTTTGTGGAAGGACATTTGAAAAACTGTTCGGTAATGGGGAAATCATGTAAAAAGTGTGGAAAAGTGAACAATTTCGCAAAAATGTGTCGTTCCAACAAATTAACGAAGTGGCTGAGCAATCATCAGAGATCTCAGAAACAGAATGCAATCTGGCAGACCACTTCGAAGACTGTGACGAATTCGAAAAAAAGTCGATACAAGACGAATGGCAGTAAATCAGTAGTGACGAATCGAAAACAGAAACAATCAAACATAATTAGAAAAACAAAACATCGCCGTGAAAAAGATAGACATAAGGAAAGACTCAAAAACAAACCAGGTAAAGCCATTGAAAGCAACAGTCAATTCACATGGTAGTGAATATTGGCAGACCAGTACCGGTCCTAAATTGGGCGACGGTAAAACAATTACTGGATAAATCCAGTCGACCAAAATTCATGCCGGCCGAAAAACTTAACCTGCGAGCATAAATTGTGGATTACCAGAAATATCTCATAATTAGGCTGCAGCCTTGAAGACAGATTTACGATCAACCGGCTGGGCTCATTCAGTCATAACCGAAAGATAGACACGATGCATACTAGGGTTGCATTTACAAGGAGGGTTTGGAGTGTGCACAATGCAGAATGCAGCACCCAGAGAGCTATCTAAGTTTGACGTTCTACTAAGCGAGTGTGCCAGTCTGTCATATTCTGAAGTGTTATCTTGATTTTCAGGAAAAGGTAATTTTGAACATTTCGAATTGGCCATGTCATGCTCAAATTTGTCGCAGCAATTGAAATAGGAGGTCAATGAAATCAGAAGATTCGAGTTATAATTCCGGGAAAATTGACACAAAATTCTTCTAGAGTGAAAAATTTTTTTGCAATTTTACTGAAATAACCCATCGAAGTATAGTTTTCTTGTTCCCGACAAAAAACGCCGTGAATTTCTACGAGAGTGTCAGCGCTGGGCAAAAGAGAACCTTCATTGGGCAGGTCGACGAGTGAAGCTGACCAATGGTCCAGAGAATAAAACTACTTGAGCTTAAACTAATTGTTTCCTCAAACTTCTAGAATTACTTTAGTTACATTATTTACTTGATTCTACAGTCTTGTCAACCTGTGAGTGTTGAATTTAATTCTTTGAATGTAATTTAAACAGTCATGTTCAGATAAGGCGGGTTTTAGGTTGATCAACCTAAAATGGATCGAATGTCCACTGTACAATCAAAACTAATGGTAAACTAGAGTATCCAACCCTGTTTTTAACGGCTTTTGCGTGTTTTAGGTCTTTATAAACCTAGCCATGGGAACTTTCTTAATTTAAAAGTGAGGGTATTTTGGTAGTAAGCTTTAAGCTGTAACACGATCATGAAGTCCCATGTCTTGAGCGAACGGAATTGGCTCCGACAGATTGAGGTGCAAAAACACTAGAGGTACTGTCTCTGACCCTTGAGCCAATGGTTATAGGGCCTATTTCTCTAAACTTCATATGTGACCTAAGCAGACAACTGTTACGGGGCAGTCTGAAGGTTGGAAAACCATAATAATTTGAAAAGTTGAAACAATTTTATGTTTGACAAGACACCTTGAAAAATCATGTAGCCTGGCAGAAAAACTGCGACGTTTGTTAAAAGAAGAAAATCAGAAAAAGAAAACTAAAAAAGGACAAAGTACCGGTGAAAATTTTCAACGGACAAAAAAAGAGCAAAAGTTCGAAAAAATTGAAATTGCCGTGGCAAACATCTCAAATGTAAATCACTATGACTCTAAGCGTGAAGTTGGAATTAAATGCAATGACAGTCATAGTAGGCTGGGGCTACTTTAGAACAAAAAACTGATGAAGAAGCAAAGATACAATTTCAGTTGCTTCAAGATACTTTAACCCCCCAGAAAAAATGTTCTCTTGATGAAGTTGAATTACTTGCTGTAGATCGAGCAGTAGATAGATATAAACCTTACCTTTCAGGTACAAAATTCATCATAGCAACAGATCATAAGACT